GGCCACATGTGTCCCGCGGGCCTTGAGTTTGACACATGTGGTATAAGAGGATGTACTTTCCCCAGCACTCATGTCTATGTGGCAGATAAGTTACTGTGGCTCTGTGGGTAGCGTAGTCATCTTGTGATTGGAAGGTTGTAGGTTTGATTCCAGCTTCCTTCTGTCAATGTGCTTCTGGGAAAGGCACATTAACCTCAAATTGCCTACTGATCTGCATCTCAGTGTATAAATAGGTGAATGTGAGTCTAAATACTGTATAAGTTCAGTCCATTTACCATCATAGTTGACTGAATGTGAGCGAATAGCATAAATGTGATAAAATGTGGTTTATCGCATAAGCCTATATGACATGTAATTCAAAGAATTATATATATTTTAAATTGCATAGATAACTTGATTGTTATGAAATTAAAACATTGTGCTTTATGTATTTAAAATAAATATACTTATTAAATTAATATAACTTTAATAATACCAAATACATAAACCTAAGGATTATGCAATTAAAATAAATAGGCTTTATTACACTGATGAATATGAATCATGTAAAGTTTATTTGATAGGTTTGCATTAAAATTCTCTACAAAAAAGTTAAATGGAAATTTGTCATAATAAAATTACATAAATCTCACAGGGTTAAGTATTCTGTGAGTGTAAGACATTTTCATATAGTTTTATCATATAGTATAGCCTCCATGAATCACTCTCTCCTCTTTCTCCTCCCAGGATCAATGGATGAAGGTGTGTCAGAAAGCCTGCCTTCCATGCAGAGCACCTCTAACGCTGGAGGACACGCAGAGGATGATGAGAGGTACCTTTGTCAGAACTTGCCATGAACGTGTCATAAGTCATAAACAACTTATAGACATGAAGCTCATCACAGCATGTCTGGACCACCCCTGTTTAGGTAATTCATCTGGACCTGAGGTGATGCACCCAATCTAACTAGTGGGGTTTCATTTTTTTATTTTTTATTTTTTTTGTCAAATTCGCAAGAGACGCGATTTATTTTATGAGAACTGACTTCCATTCAAGAGGATCATCTGCAAATATCACACATAAAACGACTGACTCATGTTGTCATCCTCACCTACCACTTAGTCAAGGGATTTTTTTAAAGGTGTGAACTTGATGGAACTGAGGAAGAGTTAGAAGTGCGGACTCCACTTTTTTGAAAGGATTACATGTTTCCACACACCTCCCCTGTATACATACATCCACCTTAAGGTTTTAAGTGGTGGTGAAGGTTGTCGAGCATCTTTTAGCTTCTTGCTTTACCCTCTGGTTACTTTTTTAACTGCATAAAATGATATGTTGGTATATTTTGTTAGTCAAGTAATTGGCGGAATAATGCTTTGTTCTGTTGATCTCAGAATAAGGATCTCAGATGTTGAAGCTGGGTTTGATGTCACACCGGAGGAGATGGCGTTCTGCATTGCATAAGCAAGACTACCTTGGAATTTTTAGTTTGGACAGTGTTGACTGTTCTAGCCGAATGATTGGTAAAGAAGACTAACATTAAGCTCCATATGTCAGAGTTATTGGAAATTGATTGATTATGTCTAAAAACAGATGCTGGATGTGGTAGGAATTCAATCAGTTTCACCATAGTTACCAATTTTCCAAAAATCATGAACTATCAAATTAAATATTTCATGGTTTCCCCAGGAAATGAGAAACATCAGGCGCAAATCGTGACACCGCACCTACCGTGGCACTTCTGGTGGCATGTGTCACGGCTGCCACTGTTTTCGGGGCTAGCGGTCAGTGTTGTTACTGCCTTCGGCTGACTTCGGCACCTTCCAAGTGTTTCCGCGACCTCATACTGGCACCTCCCACGCCTCACGGACCGCTCTCACCTATTGTCGCTGACGAGATTTAGGGCGGTCATCTTAGAGCGGTCGACCGCTCCACTCAGCGTTATACGTTTGACAGGCACAATGACATATTTGAGCATTTAATCTTTTATAACACGCTGTTTTGTTACTAGAAACCTTATACAAACAGCTACATTTATAAGCAATTGTATTTTTAAAGTATTTTTTAATTGTATTATACATAGTTAAGCATATTTAAATATGCTTAGTGGGGAAAACAATAGAATAGGAATAGAATATTCTTTGGTGACAGCTTCTGTGTCAGATTTAATATGAATGAATTTATAATTAATGAAAACAACAGTGGATCTGGCACAAAGTATTGCATTTCCTCTTAAGTGTTGTGTTCCCTTAAAAAAGCAAATTTGCTGTGGTCTATTTTTTATACAGTCTCAAATTTCAGTTTCCAATAAAGAGCCTCAGTGAAAACATGTTGACAGCTGCCATAAGGTGTCACTTGTGCCACGGGCTTCCGGGTAAGGTGCCACTTGTGCCACCTTACCACCGGGTAAGTTGGCACTTAATTCTATTTGTTTGAACTAAAGTTATTCATATGCTACATTCTATCTGAAACAGACAGATTGAGGTCACAGCAGCCCGTGGCACCCATGGCCATGGGCTGCTTTGCCGCCTTACTACTGGGTAAGGTGGCACAAGTGGCCATGGGTGCCACGGGCTGCTGTGACCTCATTCTATCTGTTTCAGACAGAATGTAGCATATGAATAACTTTAGTTCAAACAAATAGAAATAAAATTAAAACATAATTCTCATACATATTTAAATATACAGCCGGTGTTCAGACTTAACAGAGAAAGACAACTCCTGCACTGAATCCATGTCAGATGGGACCTCTTCTGCAACAGCTGATAATAGCTACCACTAGGTACCACTACAACTGACACTCGGTTGCCATGGTATGTCAGTGCTGACAAGCTCCTGTCAGTTCCGGATTATAATTATTTTCATACAATGACCTTAATATAATGATATTGATTATTAAAGCGGGTAAGTTCCAACAATGCCTGTTAACCAACAGGTTCCACTGTAATAGTGACAGTGGTAGATTCAATTACTTTGGCCATCTTCCTTCAATTAAATTAAGTCAAAAATATTCAAGGATAATTAACCAATACAATTACCATTGAAATACAAATTTATAAACAGGCAATATAAGTAACACGTTTTCCAAAAACTGTCATTGCCATCCCCCAAAACATCGGCACCAGTTGTGACAGCTCTGAAACATCCTGGACACCTAACAGCAGCTCTAGTGGAGGCCAGACTCAGCTGTTACAAAGGTGCCGAAACCAATGGCATCCCTGATACCTGCTGTGTATTTGATTAATTCAACGACGAAAGGAGTCGGCTGGATTATTCAGATGAACTTTAGTGAATAAATAGGATGAATGAATCATACAAAACGTGTAGGAATTCAGCTAACATAGGTCTTTCTGTGAAAAAAACTCTGAAAAATTCTTTCTTCTTCGTCTGTCTTCAAGTTCTTCTTCTACTAGTTATAAAGCATCATGGGATATGTAGTCCATTTGGCGAAGCCAGTGGCAACCATGGTGTCAATGTCTATGGTGGCAACACTGGCAGCTAGCCCCGAAGACAGTGGCTCTTGTGGCGCATAATGACACCTGCCACCGGAAGTGCCATTAGTAGGTGCGGTGTCACGATTTGAGCTCGGCCCTGCTGCAGTAAATATACTAAGCTTGGGGGTAGTGCAGTCCACCAGCTATCTTAAGTTGCAAAAATTTGGCGGTACATGAGCAGGCGTCATAATTTGGAAATTATAATAATGTGAGGCCAGCGGGCAGGTTCAGGGATGGCACAATTGGTGTGAACACCCTCGTGCCCAGTTCAATTTGTCAACTATAAACCTAGCTAATAGTCTTTATTGTCACTGTTACTGCTGAATAACAAACCTATTTAAAATAAATAACGCTTAGTGTGGCGGGGGAGTAAAGCCTGGTGGCCCTCCAGGCTTATGATACACTAAGGGAAACCCTGAATATATCATATCAAATGTAGGATTTAACGCCAAAAAGTAAACATTAAAGTACACATAGGTAATGTTCCATGTATCCACCAAATCAAGATTGTCTCTGGTGTTCTTTGTTTCTGTTTTAGGCTGGAAGGTATTCAGTATCCATACCACCTCTATATAAGTCCATCGGCTCGACCTGGCACCAATGGCCCAGACCGGCCTTTTCAATGCCCAACCTGTGGAGTCAGATTCACACGCATTCAAAACCTGAAACAGCATATGCTCATACACTCCGGTAGGTGGGACCAAGTCAAACAAAAGTATTGCAGTATTGATGTTTTGCACGTGAAATCAGGCTCTTCCCCACTCCGCCTTGATGGAAGTCAAAACACTTGAGTGAAGCTGACCCCTTAACTTCTGGAAACCAGACAAACATGGTGTCAAATGTTTGTGTTAGGTTTGAGATGGTTTGTGCAGCAAAAATTTTCATTTATGCCACTATCATTTCAAAGATATTAATAAATGTTTTCATGATGTCCCCTGTGCCAGATCACTTCAAAGTTTCTCCGATTTATCCCTGTCATCACAAATCAAACATGAGGAAGAACCCCACTGAATCTGCAATGTCATGTATTGTATGTTGACGTTTTTATCCCACTGAGTAAAACCGTGTAAACATGCCTGCGTAGATGTTGCAGTCGCTGGTATTGGATCTGGAAAGTCAATTGTTGGTTCCTTTCCGCCGATGAAACGTAAAAAGCCTGTACAGTTGTCCTTGGTCGTATTTTGTGCAGTAAATCCCTCTCACTGATATCTAGTATCCAGCGTTGATATTTCCTTGTGCTTCTCTGGGGTTTTGGAAATGGAATAAAAAAAAAAAACTCCCGTCATATGCTGCTGATCACCATATTCCGACATTTGTTGTGGCTCCCTTTTACACTAATCTCCGCAAATGGGCAAGAAATGTCTTTAATGCTCTGTAAATTGTCTTTAAGCTTCAGTACCCTGAAAGTTTTGACACTATAATTTAGTTATTTTCTAAAAAATTATCTGTGTTTCTATTGTATAGTTTATCATCATATAATGATATATTTACCAACATTGATATTGGTTTTTATTTTCGGTCAGATAAATACAACTGACATTTACAACCAATATTTATCTCCATATTATTGCCATTTATTCCTGGGAAGAGGGGAGGACATTGGTCATGTGTTATTTGTTTGGTCATATGTCGGTGACAGTGATGCAGCAAAGGATTGTGGGGACTCGTGACTTTTTGGGTTTTAAGCAGGAGGTGTCAGAAAAGTTACCACAGGGATAACTGGCTGGTGGCGGCCAAGCGTTCATAGTGACGTCGTTCATAGCAACGTCGCTTTTTGATCCTTCGATGTCTGCTCTTCCTATCATTGTGAAGCAGAATTCACCAAGCGTTGGATTGTTCACCCACTAATAGGGAACGTGAGCTGGGTTTAGACCGTCGTGAGACAGGTTAGTTTGACCCGACTGATAATGTGTCGTTGCTATAGTAAACAACACAGAGGGATTGGCGCAGTCAGCAGGGAGGTCGGTTTTTATTTTCCAAGTATCAAAAGAGTAGTGAAGTGTGTGTGTGTGTGTGTGTGTGTGTGTGTGTGTGTGTGTGTGTGTGTGTGTGTGTGTGTATAAAATATTAGTATTTCTATCCCTGATGTTTTTATTTTTATTTCGTTTGATGTTTGATAATAAAAATACAGTTGCACCAAGATCTTAAAAGAAAAAAGCTTTAATTAAGTTTGAAAAGACAAAACTGGGAAAAATTGTTGACTGAAGAACCTTTTAGGAGGAACAAGGGAAGAAATTTAAACTGAATTATGTTTTCCTTGTTTTGTCCCGTTCCTCCAGGCATTAAACCTTTCCAGTGTGATCGCTGTGGGAAAAAGTTCACACGGGCCTACTCCCTAAAGATGCATCGGCTGAAGCACGAAGGTAAACGCTGTTTCCGGTGCCAGATTTGTAGCGCCACATTCACGTCCTTCGGTGAATATAAGCACCACATGAGGGTCTCCCGACACATAATCCGCAAGCCGCGGATTTATGAGTGCAAAACATGCGGCGCCATGTTCACCAACTCTGGCAATTTAATTGTACACCTGAGGAGTCTGAACCATGAGGCATCCGAGCTAGCAAACTACTTCCAGAGCAGGTGAGGAGTTTGGGGGCGTTGGCCCCCCTCATTTACTCAGATCTCCCCTGGTTCAGATAATAACTCCAGTTTACATGCTGATGTCTGAAGTTCATTGGATCGTTGTCCTCATTTGGTTTTGTTTCTGAGATGATAAGTGATTTGAAGTTTTTTGCTTTAACATGTGGAGATTTAATGACTCATTCCAAATCAGGTTTCCATTTCAAGATGTTAAACCTTTTCATAACTTATTGGAGGCAGAATATTATTTACATCTGAAATTTATGCCACAAAAGGGACGGCTGGAATACTGAATAGCATTTAATGAAAATTTTTTTCTGGTATTGCAGGGATGATGTTAGTGTAATTTTTTTTTTTATTGTAAAATGAGTAATTGTTGTTATCATCGATCATTAAATTTATTTTCAAGTGTCCCATAAATGATGCAGTTTTACTTATAAGAAAAAAAACATCCTTCTGCAACTGGTTGGACCCACAGTCTAGATCATTCCCAGAAGATTCAGAATTTAATGCTAAATTGCTGCTAAAGATTTTGACAACCAAACAAAAGAATATTAAGGATCAACTATGCATCCATCTTTGATTGAGACCAACATTTAAAATTTTTTGGATGATTAAAAGCGATGAATGTATATGGATAAAGAAATCAGTTAATGTCCAAAAACACATAAAAACTAAAAGGTAGGGTGACTCAGAGAGGAAAAAAAACGTCATGTATCAGATGTTTTTTTTTTTTTTTCTTTTTCCTTTTTTTTCATTTTGTTATATTACACAAAATTCTGTGTACTTTGTTTGGGATTGTATGTGGTAGATCAACATAATATCATACATAATTGCACCGTGAAGATGAAATTTATGTACATTTGCAGTTTGGTTGTATTATTTTTTAAAATTATTATTAAAATCTGCAAAGTGTGGCATAGATTTTTACTTAGTCCAATTAACTTAGCTTTGATATTACCATTAAAATCCAGTGCAACCACTTTCCTTTGTAAGTCACCTGGTTATTAAACAGACTCCATATTCGTTTCTTTTTAACTAGCCAATATCTATATCCAAAGTAAGTATTGCTGTTATGACGGATAACAATAATCCAACTATATTTAGTTGGATTCTGACATGAAGTTCCATGCATTCAAGCTTTGGTTGCAAATTACATGTATTGCCAGTTATATATGCTGGTTGTATGGTTTTATTAGCTAGAATGCTAACAACTTAGCATTCTAGGAATTTGTTGCAAGAAGAAAAAGGAAGCTACTTCCATTACAATACAGGGTTTCCCCCAGAAAACTTGCTAAGCTCGGTGGTCAGGGTGACGAGGCGATCCACCATGTTTTTGTATGAAAAGATGTGAAGTAGACAGGAAAAGTAAAAATATTACTGGGTAATTATATGTTACAGGAAAACATCGCCAGCAAAACGCTACTTAAACCCACAACTAGTCTTAAAAACAACATATTAAAAAATGCAATTAAAATTAATATCAATTATTTGCACTTCTTCAAATACAAATTAGTAAACTGCAATTATAACTTATTGCTATTTAGGTTGGCCAGTTAAACTCCTCCCCCTCTCCCAGATTTCACTAACACATAAGCTGTTAGAGCTGCAGAGATGTTCTTAAGTCAGATTTGAGATTTTCAGATCTTCATGCGGCCGCGCTCATTAACTCTGGCTGCCTAAGCAAAGCATTTGATATGGTTTGTTACATCGTGTAACTGGAAAAGTACTAAAAAAAAAAAAATAATATAAAACCAGCATGAAGCATGACTACGAGGAGAGCGAGAGCTGAACCTGCATGATGAGTGGTTAGCGTTGGTTCGTTAACCACTAACGAACCAACGTATGCGCCCAACAGGGACCACGTACGTAAACGACAGGGAAGACAGAGCCACACGCTGGGCAGCGTTTTGAGTTGTAAACACTACACATAATGTTTTGTTCACAATTATAAGTCATTCTCACCGCTCGGTCAACACGCACCTCGGAAAGCTTTACTACAAGTTATTTGTGTGGTTCACATTGAGCTGCGCAACCAGAGCCAACGCGGTGCATTTTAGACTCTTACGTTGATGTGAAGTTTGCCAAATACAAATAATTCCACACAGTAAAGCTAGTAAAGCATGGTGGGCCACCAGGCTTATGATACACTGGGGTAAACCCTGCAATATTCAGTAGTAATATTGTGGTTGCATGTTTTCCTGATGTCACAAAGAATATTAACCATGCCGCACTTTTCAGATTTTTATTCATTAATAGTTTTTAAAATTGTCCAATTTACTTTCCTCTTACGGTTATGTGGCATTCTGAGTTGATCTATGAGATAAAACAACTACAAAAAAAACAACTTATGGCCAGATAATATAATCTGTCACCAGATAGATTGTTGCTAAGGAGGAAAAGCTGCAGTATTTAATCAATTTTTAATGCTTATTGCCTTACAGGTGCTGTAATAACTCTTTTTAAAACCATCAGTTCCTGAGTCTTGTTTTAGGACAATAGTTTTGGATTGCTTAAATCAGTTTTTTGCTGTTCCAGATAAGTCTAATGTTTTTTAGTTGGAATTTAGTTGTTTAGAAAGGTTAATTTTACAATTTAAAGAAATTTTCATTTGCACATCAAACCTCGGCTTGACCCTGATCTGCCATGACAAAAACAAACTGATAACGTTAATTAATCATGATCACATAAACAACAGTTCTTAATACTGCCTTCTATTAAAAATCAATGATTCATGACAAGATTAAAAACCCAGAAGAGGGATGTAAAAGTGGAGCTCAGGTTTTATGAAAAGGATTTGCACTGAAGACGTATTACACTTTGTTTTCCATTGACTGGTCTGTATATCACCTCACAATTTCCGTCTGCAGCAAGAAAACGAATAGGCCGCTGTGCGTAAAGGAGCTCATCAGTTTCACTTCTTGGTACAGTTTGTTCCCAGAGTATGTAAAATAATGTTAAACCAGGTCCTGCCGATTAAGACATCACACTTTTTTGCACTTCTACCCAAAACCTTCCCAAACAAAACCATTTAATAAACTCCAAAGTTCAACTTAGGCTAATTAAATGGTTGATCTGATGAGCGATACAGCATCTGAACTGCTGATTTTCCGATCTTTTGGAATCAGTCAGGCTGGCAGGTTTCCCACTATTATTAGTATTTACTAATTGTGTGAACTTTTCAAAGGGCAGGATATTTTTAATACACTAAATCCATATTTTTTAGCAATACAAGTGGGTTCTACATCACTTGTGTTGTCTTTCAAGAAATAGAAGTGGTTCATTTTTCCCAAAAGTCAAGGTATTCATTTTTATGTCTTCACAGAGAGGACTTATTAAAAATAAACATTCAGTTTGCACTCACTTCTCGGACAGCTTTTGTTTTAAAGAAACAAAAAGTCTTTAAAATATAATAGTCAGAATACTTCTTTAAGAAGTCAGACGTTTTCTTCTCCCCCTCCCCCAGACTTTTCCACTTCTTAATCAACTCAAGCCCTCACAGGTTGACGGGACTCATATGGGCCATTGACTGCTCAAGTGTTTTATGGTAGAAGGTCTGTGCCTGAGATCATAAGTGTGGAAAATTGTCTGGCTGCTCAGGCGGACTCTTAATTCCCTTTCTACGTCTTCACATAAAAAACAATGTGTTTATTGTGCTGTAGATGCAGATTTTCAGACCCGTCTCAGAGTCAGATGTGTTCAGAACTTAACCATTTCATCTGGATACTTTGCTTTAATATCCAAAACTGATCAGGTATACATGTGTACAGGTGTACATTTTAAACCAGGTGATTGGACTTGTTTGAACTAAACTAGAGATCCAATACTGAGTGCACATTCAATTGAATCAGATTATGCTGTGATGCTGTTTTACAGACAATTGTGTGTTCATTGAATCTTATTAGGGCTGCACAATATATAGCCAAAACGTTGCAATAACAATATCAGTGGGTGTAATATTCACATCGCAAAGGACTGTTTAGAGTGCAATAATTGTTGGCAAATATATTCAAGTGTTGTGAATGTGCAGCTTCCATGCTAATGTAATACTTAGGTGGGTGAACAGTTTCATGGCAGCAGAGGATCATACTTGACCTTAATGATGTTTCTCAAAAGCCTAAAGATGACAAAGTCATGGAAAGAAGAAAATAGGCATATTAGCAACAGATATTGTCCTCACGATATTTACTAATATACAGCTCTAACAATAAGAATAACTCAAATTTGGGCAAAACCCATAAATGTAAGATTCACATAAAGTGGTCAAGTCAGATAAAATGCTATTCAAGTCACCCATTGAAAATTTCTGTATTTTTTTCAAATGCATTCTTTTTCTAAACCTATTTCCAATACCATTTAACCCTAAATCTGATCTATAATAAGAAAAAATAGGTGTTTTGTAAACTTTAAAAGCATTTAGATGAAAATGTCCCAGTGCCATGGGACCAACAAAAAGTTGTAGCATTGGGCAGATGAAATGGGCATAATCCATATGTGAAACAGTATTCCATGTTTTCCAATGAGGCACCAGCTGCTGTGTGTTTTTTTTAAAGGGATTTCAAACATGAGAACAATGTTAGGAATTTCTCAAAGGGGCAGCTGTTACACTGAAACTGAGCAAACACAGGCTTTCACATTGTTATTCATGTCTTTGTTAGTCTGGAGCTTCTTGTTAGTGAAAACAGAAGAGTCAACGAAATGGATAGGCCACAACCAAAGTTATTGTAGCAAGTTTTTCCTAACTTCCATTTTAGCGTCATTGTGACTGTTGTTGTTACATTGTGGCTTTAGCTGAGCTTTTAGGTAGAAACCAGCAGTCAGCTGCTGGAAACAAGGCGCTCCTGCTCCACCAATATCCCAAGCTGTCTAAAGATTCTTGGCAAAAGTCAAGTGAATTGGAACGCTTTTGCTTTCTGACCTCCTCTATAATGTTGTGTCTTAGTTATACTGCCAAAACTTTAGCAAGGTTAGATAAATTTATTTAATTTGATTATCACACCAGCTACAGATAATCACTAATAGATTAAAAGTCTATTTATAATGTGGCTGCACAACATCACAGTAATATTGTGGCCATAAGTTTACAGCAGAGATGGGCAACATCAAATTGTTTATTATTGTCAGGGTAAAGTATAATGGTGATGAGGATTAGTAATCTTGTTTTATAACCACAACCTGTATGGTTTTGTTTGTTAACCCAAAACTCTGGCTGTGGTTTTTGTCATCTCTGAACTGAACAAAGTGTGTTTTCAAAGTGTCAAGAAATACTCCACATCAGGCAGGTCTTTATTATATTAATATTATGTTGATTATAAAGTTGTGATGTATTGTCATGTTTTTGGAGTAAATTTACCAACCCATATGTTGTGCCTGAAATGATCCATTACTAATCCTGTCAAACAGTGTAATCAATGGGCTCTACTGCAATAAATTCTCTCTGCTCTGATTATGTCTGGTTCACATAGCAACATTTTCTAATTATCAGCCCATTTTTAAAACCTGAAAGACCCACATTTCTGATGCTAAAACATTTAAGGACAATAAGTTTATGTGGTTCTTCAGATTTCACTCCCCCACATTCAGCTGTCAGATGGGAAATCTTACAAAACCTCACAGGACCAAACGTGAGTTCAGTGTAAACCAACATGGCCGATTGGGAAGAAGCAACAGCGATAGCTTGTGGACTACATTTAACAGAGAAAAAAACAATACAAAGATGTATGTAACGTCCTCCAGACTTTCAAGTAGCCACGGCAGATATTTTGTCTTTCTTGTATTGTCGATTCTCCTCTTGTGTTTCTATAATTTTTGGTTCTAATTGGCTAAACGTCACATTCAACAAGTTGTTGTCGTTTTTCTTAAGGGAAAACCACACACGCTGCGATATCGGGATAAGATGATCCAGCATGTTGAATATCCCTGATTTAAACGTGAGCATTCCTGAATGGACCAGATCTGTTAACATTCCACACTCAGCAGGAGGAAGATCTCTTAACATTGCCGTGGTCTTAGGGTGACGCTCAGCAGAAACAGGGGCTGATGGTGGTGGTAAGGGGAGAGGAATGTCCCGTCAGACTGTTGATTCTTGAAACAACACAAAAAAACTAGTGAAAGCATGCATGAGGTTAGTGCCACCCTGCCAGAGTGTGGACAGGGTAAAAAAAACTGGTGGGGTCCAAATGACTTTATTTGAGAAATATTTATTTTGGATGTAAAGACAATACAGTAATAAAAAAAACTGTTTGGTTTTTAGAAATTAAAATAAAATATCGTCACATGGATGTCGCCATGTTGTTTACACTGTAATGCATTCGGTGTAAATGACATTCGTCATTGTCTAAGTCCTGTTTTGAAAATTAGGACTTAGACAATTTTGCTAAGTCCTAATAGCATAATTGCCTATGTCCAGGAAATCATGCTATTAGGCAGACGATGGGTTCGATTGCACTAGCTCTGTCCAATGTAAACAGCGATGAGTAACATCTTTAGGCCTTTTCAAATTGAACCAGAGCTCACTGAAATGGCAATGTAGAAATCACAAGAGGCGATGAAGACGAGTAGGACCAAATGGAGGAAGTGGTGGGAGTTGGCTGAAGAAGCTGGTGCTTGCTGCTGCTGCCCTCAGCTTCATAAATAAAACATTGAATGACACGTAGCTCTGGTCAGTCTGTGTGATCCGGTAAGGAGATCTGTGTCCGGTCTGATCTTTCGTTAGGTAACACCTATTTGGGGTCCAGTCTTCAGTCCAGTGTCAGGTCTGTGGTTTCACATTCAGTTCTGTTGGCAGTAGGTACTGAATGATAAACAGCAGCTCAGGTAAAGTTAGCCTTCCTGTGTTTACTCTGTAGTTTCAAGTACAGAACGGACACAAAACACATCATCGACCCAGCAGGTGAAAAAGTGGTGACTTCCTTGGGTGAAAAATATAAGGGAAGATATACAATTTTAGAAGTTATTTTGAGTTTTTATGCATCACAAATAGCAATTTAGTAGTTAATAGGAAAATTACAAAATATTTAGGCTAGCATGTTCAACTTGTTACTTGTGAGACTGCAGGTTAGGATTATCTTAAGAGCCATCCTGATTATTGGGGTATCCTTAAAATTGTCCGAAGAGGGAAAATCTTGCTGTGTGAACCAGGCATTAGAGGCTAATTTTCATTAAAACTAACAATCTCATTTACTTTTATTGGTGGAATTTCCAGATTGCATCTGCTGTTTGTGCCGAGGTAAGAATGAGAAGACAGCAAGGTCACATGTTCTCTTGGTCCTTTCAGTGATTTCCTCGTGCCCGACTACCTGAGCCAGGTACAGGAGGAGGAGGAGGCACTGGGAGTTCCGTATGAGCTGGAGGAGTCCCAACATCACCCAGTTTACCTGGGCAGCACCTCCACTGTCGCCGCCACCACCACTGCCTCGTCCTCTTCCTCAGTCCAAATGCCAGTCATCTCCCAGGTCTCCTCTTCCACACAGAACTGTGAAAGTTCCTCCGGCTTACTTTCGCCTGAGCCCCTGGACCCCCTGGAAGCCCCAACCTCCAATAAGACGGACGCCGATGAAACCGCAGTCATGACGGAGAATAAGATGAGTCACGGTGTCGGGGGCAGTTCCCCAGAGGAGTTTGGAGAGGAGCAGCCTAAGGAGGTGGCTTCCATTACCATCGAGTGATCCAAGTCTTCTTCCTGCCCCTGATGTTGTATTTTGCACTCAGGTTATATGGGAATATAAGTCTAAATGATCTGAAGACTGAAAGAACTCGGAGATCCACACATGCAGCTCTTATCATGTGGAACCATGGAAACGCTACAGAGTTTTCAAAAGATGCTGTTGATTTAATGGCATTGTTTTACATGCAGAAACTGCAGCACTTCTTCAGATTTCACACTAGTTCATTGGCTGGAGAATCCGGACCTCACAGCCTCCTTGCTCCCTGAAAGCCAGCAGTATTTTAGCAGTTTTAACAAGCCTGTTTTGTTTCCCATATGACTTGAATGCAGCACTGTCTCAAGTCAGTGAAGTGTCAGCCAATTGGAGGTCTGTCCGTTCCAAGCCTTGCTCTACTTTTAGAAAGTGCCTGAGAGTTCACACTTTAGCAAAGTCATGTAGGAGAAATGAAGTGACAAATCAAGTCTTTGCAAACTGAGCTAAAATAGTTATTGTATTACATTTGTAATAGTAATGCTAGTTTGTATGGGCAGAAACTGTGTTACTCATTTGGTGCCGTTGCTATTGGCAAATATTACATGTTAATATTAATCTATCCTGCAATAGCTTGTACTGTACTTCTATATGAATGCTGTGTATGTTGAGTGTTGTTCTATGATGTGTAAGATGTGTGTGTATGTGCATTTCTATGACCAGTATGAACACAGTGCATTTCCTTTTTTAAATGTTTCAAACTTGAACTGTATTGACAAAGTATTCCCTAAAGTTATCTGTGCAGTGGAAACACTTTTTTGACTGGTTCCACAGTTTGACTTGTCAGTGAACACTGTTGTGAAATCCACCTCTGGTTCTACTCAAAAGCAAAATTCTCTGTTTCTACATCAGTTTGCATAAGTGTTTTTGGCCCTTAAGGGTCAAACAGAAGATGGACAGTTTAAGGTTACTTCATGGTGTTGTGTGGGATTTTCATGGCGTAAAAAAAAATCCTGATATTCACATGGAGAATTAGAACCAAATGTCTGTGATCTGATCAAATTGGTTTTATTGTGAAGGAACAGCAACATCCCCTACGACTTTTAAAATAACAGAATATGGATTACTTCAGCTATATTTTATCTGTAACATTCATTCAGTGTCACAGTTTAATTTTGATCCATTGAAAGCAGCATGATGAACATGTTAGCTAGCTTTTGCTAGCCGTTGTGCACTTATTGATCCCAGTAACGAGCTCATACCCATTTCCAGCTGCAGGTATGTGTCACCAAGTTCACCCTAAATATGTAATCACTCATTATTTTACCCCAACTGAAGCTCAGCCACTTTTTTTGTCAGTGTTGTTTGCAGTTGCTTGATTATCAGTCGATACATTGCTAATGATGTTAGCATAATGCGTTTGAGTAATGGTTCCAATTAGGTAAAACATGACAGGTATTTTTTGTTTGTTTGTTTATTTTATCTTAATCGGAGACAAAAAAAATGTTTTCAGTAGATCAATTTCACAGTTGCAAGTCTCTGTGCTCTTTGACATTTTATATTTCTGCATTTCTGGATTTTTTTTCTCTCAAAAATGATCCACTTTCTGTGTGATGAGCAGATAACTCACCATGCAGCAGTTAACAAGTTATCTATTTATAGTCCAACTATAAGTACATGCGGTTTTGAGGCTGTTGTTTTTGGTTTGGATGAGGGCTCAAAAATAAATTTTTCATAAGCTTAAACTGGTCCAATGTGAAATCTTCAGAAATGACTTTGTTATATGTTAATTCATAAGTTAGATTTGAAGATTTCTATGATCAGGAATTTCTTCAAATCACTGAAGACGGGTAACTAGCAAGATGCAAAGATAAACTAATACACAATGATTACATTTGTAAGAAAATGTTCATTCATGGGAAAGAAATGAATGTTGGGAAGGATAAAGTGGCACCGGTCAAGAACCTCATTTTAGACACATTATTAGGAACACCTGTGTGGTTCTGCAATCAAGTATTGCCTCCAAGTTCAAGTAGACTATTTCAACATCAGTCATCTATTTACAATATGGAAAAAGAGAAGATGTCTTCATTTCCTTCTTGTAGTCTGATGCTTTTGTGGGCAATTAACTGCAGTATGTAGGATTCATTTTTATCATTGCAGCTGCTGGGATTTACTGTAAGCAAGAAGTGATCAGAGCTGTTCTTGCTTTAGGAATAGAGAAGCACTGAGCGGATGAATGTCTCTTATTTGATTTGCAGTTTTTGTCGTCAGATTTCAACCCTCTGAAACAAATTTTTCCTATTTGTTTTTTTTCTGTAAGAACAGCATTTAGAATCTTGTTTTACTATAAGTCCTGCTGTAAACGGCCATGTTTTGTTGTTTGTTGTTTTACTTAGAAGAGCTGATTTCTCTGTGAGAGAGAGCTGTCACTGTTTAGCTATTTTATTTTAAAACATATTATTCATTTTAAAATGACTTTAGGGTCTTATATGGCTTGAGCAGTTGGCATCGTTAAAATAGAACAGACCCAACACTGACTGAAATTATAAAAAGAGTTCAAATATTTCTGAATTCAGTATGTTCCATATAATATAGTTATGAGTGCCAAATTACAATATATAAATAACTTATGAAATAATTTAAATCTGCCATTAATTTAATAAAACTGGAAATACATGCCTATATAATTAAACATGAATGAATTATATGGGCTTAAATTTAATAGTGTTGAAGATATTGACCTCACATCTGTGTTGCCCTGCGACAGACTGGCGACCTGTCCAGGATGTACCCCGCCTCTCGCCCGGAACGTTAGCTGGAGATAGGCACCAGCACCCCTCCCGACCCCACTGAGGGACAAGGGTGTTCAGAAAATGGATGGATGGATATTGACCTAACAGTCATATAACTAACATTGAAGAAGGTCTTAATTTGTTGCTTGAAGCAGCCAATCAGACGTCGGGGCCTCCAATGAATTCAAATTAAGTTTGTTTTTTTAGGATCCTCATTATCCATTGCTGTAACACTGGCTAGCCTTCCTGGGGTCCACATGATTTAGAAAAAGCATTTATTACAAAAACAATTATACACATTCAACATAATAAATGTGCCGTTATAACACTTTATGTAGTAAAATAATTAAACAGGGCTGTTCAAAAAGCTTCAGCATTTGTTCCATTTATAACGGATGAAAGAAGTGAGTTCCATGTTTTCGTTCCTCTAAAAACAGCTGGAAGAGAAACAACTTTTTATAGCATGCCTTCCATTAAGATTGTGTAAAATTTGGTTAAATAAAAGTTAATTGTATAAAATCAGGCTGCACAGGTGTGCAGTCGGTAGAGCTGTTGCCTTGCAGCAAGAAGGTTCTGGGTTCGATTCCCGGCCCGGAGTCTTTCTGCATGGAGGTTCCATGTTCTCCCTGTGCATGGTGGGTTCTCTCTGGGTACTCTGGTTTCCTCCCACAGTTCAAAAACATGGCTGTCAGGTTAATTGGTGTGTCTAAATTCAATTAAAGGTTGAGATGATTGTACATGATTGTTTTGTCTGTTTCTGTGTTGCCCTGGTGACCTGTCCAGGGTGTGCCCTGTCTCTTGCTAACTGACCGCTGGAGATGGGCACCAGCACCCTTCCTCACCCCGCTAGGGACAAGGTTGTAAGATAATGGATGGATCAATATATAAAACAATTGGTATTTTCTAAAAAGCATAAGAGGGTAATGTACCTTATTTTTAAACAAGGGCCACCCTAATGCTTTTTGCATCCTGATATTTGTGCATTTCATCAAGGACAATGTTACATTTTTTTAACTTAAATTTTATATAACTGTTTAGTGCATTGCTTTATTTATTTCCTTTTTGTATAAATTAATTAAATAATTACTTCATAGGTCACTCTCCATAGTCGCTGCTTCCTTTGTCTTTAGTGCAACCTGGTAGCTCTTGGGTTTGGTGTGTTCACTGACCAGTGAAAGGTTGGAATTTTGAGTTTCTGACCCTGTGCATCTATTGTGTTTATGGAGCAGCTGGTGCATGCTAATGTGTGGATGTGATTACTGAGTACATAAAGCCGGAGCTGGTTTTATAACAGTTTGTGTTTTTTGGAGTTGCTGTCCTGCTCATGTGGGTCGCGGTGCCTGAGTCTGGAGGAGACGATGACCGCCACGGTGATTCTCCATGAATTCAATGCTACTGACAGTGACTCTGTTTCTCCTCCTTGTTTTGGGATTAGTCCATTCAGTGTAGAACACAGGTGCTCACATACAGGGTTGATTGTAGAGGTTGGCTTCAATAGTGCTGTTATATGGCCACATCCTGAACCAGTCAAACTGGTGGTACCTTGTGCCATCCTCACAGTCCCTTTTTTTGTTGTTTGTTTTAAATGTGCCATTTGCCCTTTATATCCGGGTAGAAATAATTTTTTTTAAAAACGGGACCAAATGTTCTCTGTCTCATTGGGGATTTGCCATGGCAATCAGTTGTTGAACATGATGGAAGAAAAAGATAATCATTCTAAGTAGTTCATGCTGTTCAGCATAGGGGTCCTGCTGTTGTGGCCCTTAAAACACTGTATGATGTTGTGCATTTAAGAGGCTAGCCTTAGTAAATGGACCTATTTTCTCTAATTGCACAATATTACAATGTAAAAAAAACTGTTTTCTATCCTCCTTCTATGTCATGCTTTTCAGTTGTTGTGCTTTGTGTCTGTAACATTTTGTTGTTTTAAATGATGAAATGCTGCTGATTGTTGAAACGCAAAAGTGCCCAAAATATTTTTGTGAACCGATGGCGTGCAATAAATGGACTGGTGTTGTTTCAAACTTTCTTTGGAATTTTATATATATATATATATATATATATATATATATATATATATAGTCCAAAGGAATATAAGATTCTTTTTTGTTTCAATCAAATGTGACTGAAAGTGTGCCGCACAAGCAGAAACCCCCTGATTTTTTTTTGATCTGTGAAACAAGGAGCACGGCTGTTGCTGAGCAACTGGTTCTCTTCAGCTCCGAAGCATTTTCTTTTTTGAAAGTTTGCATGTTCATATCGTTCTGTGAAGTGACAGAGAGCATGTGTTGAGTTGGTAGCGAGGCCTTATGACTCTTCAGCCTGTGTAGCTCTGATATGGACAGCATGCCCTCTTTTATTCTGTACATTATCCCTTTTTATGTGCAATGTTTTGAAAATCTCTTGATTACATATAGGACATGCCTTCTCAGTGTACACTTGATGTGGTATACATGCTCCAGTCCATATGGTTTATTTAACAGTAGGGAAATCCAGTAAAAGCTCCACATGACATCTATTTTTGGTGACTTTTTTTGTATGCTATTTTAAGGCATCTTTGGATATTCTTGTTAAATGTGAATGGGTCACTTTAGTCTTTGTATGTATGGGAGGACCTTGGTAGTCTTCTTTTTGTGACTGTCTACAGTGTTAGTATATATATTAATATATAAATGTACAGTATATACACTCATACTATGTTGGATATTCTTTATGCAGTAACTACTTGGTTTCAACCTGCTTTCTCACAGATGTTGTGTTTTGCGTCTTTGATACCGTATTTCAACAATGTTTTGGAGAACCTGTACACAGATGTTTCAGCTAATTCTAGACTGTATTAAGTGTTTTAACTGGATCATATTCCATAGGTGGCAGTGAGAAAATCTAGCACGGGCACTCTTTATGGAAGAGTTTATGGTTACTTCAAATTTTTGCTATTGTTCTGGCTTTGCAGTCTTGTTCTTATTTTAAAAAAAAGAGCTGGTTTTGTATATGTATAACATGTAAATAAAATGACCAGAGTCAGAATAAAAAAATCTGTTTCCATGAAGATTTCTTTAGGCTTTAAGTGTTAAGTGTCTTTTATTTATATATATTAAATATGCCTAAGTTTTGTCACATGCTCAACTATGTATTACTTTTTCTGGTGGCATTTTCTGTAAGGCAAAAGTTTGAGTCACCCTCATACTTTTTATGACTTGAGGTGGTTGAAGCTACTGCTAACTCACTGCATACATACCCTTGCTATTTAGTCAGCTAGCACTTTTGCGGCTATCATTGGTAAGTGCTAAGTCTGACCAGCTGGCTGGACGAAGTTGTGGACACTTAGGTCTTAAATTCCATTAATAATTGTCTTAATTTGACTTGGTGACTGTGACAGGCGTTTGCTGCCCTTAGCCGATTCTCTGTTACACTAAATTTAAGTCATTAAATTATTCATACTACTGGAAGATTTTGCAATAAAATGTATTTAATTGAACCAAAAAGTTTGTTTCTAACAAAGAATTAGACTGGCACCGCTCAAAAGGATATAAACGTACCTGTCAGGTTTCTCGTTTTGGCCTGTAAAATATTTGACCCCTCTGACCCGGCAGTGCTCCCATATTAGCATTTTCCTACATAAGAGTAATTACGCCATGCGTCTCTCCCCCGACAGTAGTCAGTCTCTGCTGTACTGATTAAGAGTTGGCCACAAGGAGGCGTTAAGATCTCCACAAGTAGATCTAGTGTCAAACAGACTGTGTTCAATAAAGTTGGATATAAAAAAATGGCGCTCAGTGTGAGAGTCAACTCAATACATGATACCAGGAGTGGTTGATGAAAAAAGAGTATTGTAAAGTATGCTCCAAAAGAATGACCTGCATCTGGGAAAGATTGTCATTATGCTAAATGGTGCTATATGAAGAAAGAGGACATGCTATGGGACAGTTTATGTCAGAAACATACAGGGAGGAAGATGAACCATCGTATGTGGAAACATTAACGCTCCACACAAGTGACGTTGAGGATGAGTGGGTAGCAGATTTGTACATAAATGGAGTTACTGTCCCAATGACAATAGATACACTTGCACAAGTATACTGTCAATGAAAAATCAGTAAAAAAGCCCACAGTGAAACATAGGAAGCTGAGAGCTTTCACCAACCAACCAATCCCTACCAAAGGAGAGTTTAAAGTAACTCTTTCAGGAAAATGACTCTGCACACTGTTTGTTCTGGCTGAAAAAGACAGACAAGCTATTCTAGGACTGAAAGCAAGTGAAAGACTAGGACTTGTTAAGAGTTCATGTCATCGATTGCACCCTATAGTGACACCTAGAGGCAACAAAGAGAAGTAAGAAGACAAAGATCGAGGCTCACCAGCAGAGATCATGGCTGAATTCAAGGATGTGTTTCATGGTGTAAGATGTCTACCAACCAAATATAAAATACAGCTGAAAGAAAGACAGAGATAAGAACTTGAATCACTCACAGACAAAAGAACTGTGAGAAAAGTTGAAGAACCTACAGACTGGGTCAATTCACTTGTTATTCCACAAAAGAAAAATTGAGATTTAAGACTCTGCATTGACCCAAAAGATCTAAACAAGTGGCTGAAGAGAGAGCACTACAAACTCCCAACCAATTCAGACGTAACTAGTGCAATGGCAGGAGCAAAATCCGTTTCAAATTTGGATGTGTCTAACGGGTTTTATCAGATTAAACTGCATGAAGAAAGTGCAAAGCTGTGTACATTTAATAGACGTTTGGCAGACCCTGTTTTCTTCACATGCCCTTTGGTATTGCACCCGCACCCAAAGTCTTTCACAGAACTGAAACTGTTTGGTGAAATGGAAGAAGTTGGAGAGTTTCTGGATGATGTAGTTTTGTGTGGAACTACAAGGAAGGATCATGATGAAAGATTGTAAAAAGTGATGGAAAAAGCATGAGAGTCTGGACTGAAGTAAACAAACAGAAATGTCAGTTTGGAGTGAGTGAAATTACTTTAGATGGGGGACAAACTGTCAGCTGCTGGAATCCAGCCAGACCCCAAAAAACGTAAGAGCAGACATGTCACCAGCAAAGGACAAAGTGAAGAGCTGAGTCTAAAAACCTACAAATAGGGGGGGGGGGG